TGACTCTTCAATGGCTTTCTTTTGGAAAGGGGTGAGGTGCTGGCCCAGGTTGTCCAGAATGCTGTGTGTGCCCCATCCCCAGCCATGGATGGGCCCTGGGTAGCCTGGTCTGGTGGTGGCAACCAGCCCAGGGCATGAGTTGGAGGCTGGGGGGCTGTAAGGTCCCTTCTAACCCAAGCAGTTCTATGATAAAATATTTTCCTCCATGCATTGCCTGGAGGGAAATGAGCTGTGTGTCTATTACAGGCACTGTGAATGTGGTGGGGATGTGCAGAGGAACAAGGCTGAGCGGGACAGGACAGCATAAAGCTGAAATGAACCAATATGTGGTTGTTCAGGGAACCTAGGCAGAGGAGCACAATGGTAGGAGTGGCACATGCTGTCTTATGACTGAAATAAGGAAGAGGTGAAGGTGCTGGGATGGTGAGAGTGACATAATGCCCTGCAAGTGCTCTTTGGTTTCAACAGCAAAGCCACGTGCAGGACCCACCTGCAAGATTCTCCATTCCTCTTCAGATGCCCTTAACACCAGGATCTCATCACCACTCCATCACAGAGCTTTCCAGGTGGGATCAAGTGGCAGCCAGGAAGCACCAGATCCAGCAGCGTGGGCTTGGATGACAACTGCAGAGCATCAGAAGAAGGGGAAGGAGGAAAGCAGTGAAGGATGGGACAAGATCTGGGAGAAGAGCGAGATGAGTGGAGAACAGGGGAAAAAGCAGAAGGGAGAGGGAATGGGAAACACAGAAAGCACAGAGGATTCCTGCTTTTCCGACTGCCTGTTAGGTGTGTGGGAGGATGAGTAATGTGGAAGTAATGAGTAATGAGGTGTGGAAACGCAGGGGGCTTAATGCAAAGCTGAAGTGCAGATACAATAACACAGGAAAAATAGAGTTTTTAATGTAAAACTGATGTTTCTTCGTAAACCTTTATTTATCTTAAAAACCTAAGAGCAATCCCAGAGCCATGCAAGAGCATTTATCAGCTTGGAAGGTGAAGGCAGGAGAATGTGTAGTTCCCTGGCTGGTTATTCATGTAAATTGCATTCAGATTAGTACAGAGCCCACCTCACATCTCAGTTCTGCAATCTCAAACAAGCATTAGCCTTGCATTTGTTTTAAAAATGAGCATAGCCTGAGATCCTGATGCCCACAGAGTAAAAAGCCAGCATGTCAGGATGGGTGTAATCTTGAAGGCAGGATTTTATATATATTGAAGACAAAAAGCTAATCTAGGTGTGATTGAGAATTTGGGTGATTCTGTGCTGTGATTCTGGTGGTTTTCAAGCCTCTAGTTTTTGCTGATGCTGGACTAGGATGAGCTGGTAAGCTATCCATATGTAATACATGGAATAAGATCACCTCTCCTGTCTGACCCATGTCACTCTCTTGTCTGGTTTCATATACTCCCCAGTGAGCTCAAGCTTTTGAGCTGTTCTTCAGGTCCCAGTTAGGGATTACTTGTCTCTGCTGCCATCTGTAAAACAGCTGTTTTTCCACTGAAAAATTTTGAAACAAAATAGGGAAATAGCACACACACACACACACACACAAAAACACCAAAAAAAAAAACCCCAAAAAACCAACAACAACAGCATTTTAATAACCCACTTCCAAGGGTCAAGCATTCACAGAGTCAAGCATTCAAAAATTAGGAAGTGTCAGCTTTAAGGCTACCTGCAACATTTTCATTTAGCATCCCTGTATATGCATGTGTGCACTGTAATACGGTCTTAAATATGTGATCACTTCCCATCTTTAGACAGAATCCCTGCTGCACAGAATAGACTTGCTCGCTGAAAGAGCAACTCTTCAATATTTCATTTAGTCTCATCGTTCAGCGTGTGGCTCAATGCATTATTTACTGCATACACCACTGAGTACAGAATTATTAATTTCTTATGGAGCTTTTCTCTGGTGCTTCACCAAGAATCTTCTTTCTTTACGAAGCTTAATGAATATATCTTCACCATGCAGCTGATGGGTGAGCCTGGATTAACGCCTTCATTTTACCCGAGAGAAGAGAGGCAGTGATAAGTATTACAGTCACAATAAGCCACAAGGTCACATCATTTTTTTGTTTTACATTTCAATTCTTTGCCCTGGCTTTCCTAAGCACTTCAAGTGTGTTGGTTACCTGCTCTTCCATAGCAGGTCCCTCTGGTGTTGTTTATAGCTCTGTGTGGTCCTCAAGCAGAGGTACATACTTACACAGGCTTAGTCTTACTGGAGGTGCTTACAGTCAGGAGAGAGCTGGTTTTCATAGGTGAATCCCATGCTTCTGTAAAATAAACAAGCAAATAAACCTGAGCAATTCTACAGTCTTATGTTAGCAGAAGTTGGGTGAGAGATTGAGACTTTGGGGTGCCAGTGAGGGGCTGTCAGCAGGCTGAGCATCTTCAGAGTTCCCAGGCAGTGCTCAGGGAACATTCTTCAACCTTTTATTATGCTTCTGCCAGTGCACACCTTTGAGGAACTTTAAGCATCCTATGCTTTAAACATCTGCAGATCAGCTGAGTTTTGGTCACCACAGGGTCCCTTTGCAGCCAGTGATGAGTGCACAGGCCTTTGCTTCGTTTTAGTTTAAGATGATCGAGGGATATTTCCACAAAGTCTGAGTATCTGGCAGGAGAAAATAGTTTTTGACTGAAAGAAGTATTTCTGTTTTTGACTCGAGATGAGCATACATTTCCCTTTTTATGGTACAATTTCTTATGCTGGTATAGCGTGCGGTTCCTTATCCTACCCCATAAAGACAACAGAGCCTCCACAAGGAGGTGGGGAGAAAAAACAACAACAACAACAACAAAAACCCAACAAAACAAGGCAGGAAATTATAACAACTTTTTTTTTTTTTTTTTTTTTTTTTTAAATAAATCTTTCAATCAAATGGAAAAAAAATATTCTACAGTCATGTTTTGGATGAGGTCAGCACAAAGGTCGCAGGCATCAAGTTAAAGCAATATGTTTGCTTAAGTTTAAAGCAATGAGGTGGTAAGTGGAATGATGCAGCAAGAATAATACAAAAGAAGGCCATGCAACATTGCTACGTGAGGATAGCAATAGTGATTAAGAAAGACACATCACTAATTGCTCTCATGCTTTATTATCACCCAGATCTGCAGTTGCTGGGGAGTGAGGATTTGGAAAGCCTTTTCCAGCAACTGGGAGGTTCTATGCTGTGCATCCACCTGTAGGTGAGGGCTTGCTGCAAGAGGCTCCAGCTCTTATATTGTTGAATAAAACAAATTTACGTGACAATGAGGTGGAAAAACCTGGTTTTGTTCTCCCTTTGGATTCCACATCAAGCCTGGCCAAGGCTCAAGGAGGAACCAAGGAGTTTGTGTACTTGTAGACATGACACTGCTTCTAAACAAGGGAAGGTTAAAGCATTTTCATAACGCTTTATCTAAGCTAACAAGATGTTTTGTCCAAGATACGTATTGCTAGCATACATGTTTTGCTCATGATCAGATTCTGATGGTGTAAGGCTGGGTTGTGAGGTCCATCTGGAGGTCAGCTTTGTTTTGAGGCCTGCTGTTCAGGCTGTAAGGATTTCAAAAGGAAACACTGGGAAGTTCGATTTAATCAGTTGTGTCCCAACAACAGATCACACTGTCAGAGCCTGCGGGTGATGATGCATAGAATGGTATTCGATTTCTGGCATTTTCTGAATGCTCTGTGCTTGAAGTAGCTATATTAGTGTCCTATCAAGATAACACTTGGATCTAAAATTGATAGCTTCTGGCTGAAAAACCTTATTGTAGTTAGTCTGATTTATTATATTGAGAGATTCTGGTCCAGTTGGCTGTGCAGTGAGCCTGATATCTTGTGTTTGACAAAGCATCATCCAGCACAGCATCTGGGTCTTCTTCGATGGGGTCTGCCCTTCTGCCCCATGGGGCAGCTCTCCCAGTGGCTGTGCTTTTCTTTCTGATTGCTATTTGTGCACTTTACCTGCTGGATGGTGATCACTTTTCAGAGCATACTTTAATTTCCTGTGTTCTCTCCTTCAGAGGCTGTTTACATACCATCTAGCAAGCCATTCTTGACTATTTCCTTTTTTTTTTCTCTCTTTTTTTTTGATAATCAGAAAGTATTGAGCTCTTTCATAAAATGTCATTTTCTAGCCTTCAAATATTCATATATCTCTGTTCAGGGCACTGTCTTCAATTTTTCATTTGACTAAATGTATTATTCCATTATTAGCCTCACCAACACTTTGTATAAGTCTAAAATAACTCAGAGACACCTTGTTTTTCTTTCTGCAGATCACACACAAGTCATTTTATCATTGCACTGGGTAGACTGTATTGAAACCCTGTCTGTTAAATGATAATAATTTTTTTTTTTTTTTTTGCCAAAAATAGGATGTATCTTTTTATACCTTTTCATTTTTCAATGTGCTGAGATACTTAATCATAAATCTACCTCTGGGTCACTCTAGGGTTGCTTTGAAGGCACCAGTTGCTGGAAACATCCTGCTCTCAACAGGGAAATCCCAACCAAGATTACCAGTATTGCTTGCAGGGTTTTAATATGCAATTTGTATTGCGTATTAATCTCTTGATTTCTAAATTCTTCCTCATTAGGAATTCTTGTAGGAGTTCAAGGGATAAAATGATCAGTGGATACTAATACATCTTTAATGATCACATAACTCAGAACAAGAGCTTCCATTGACCCGCTCTGTTTGGTAATGGTGAAACCAGGTTCAAACAGCCAGCTCCTTGATTCAGGCATCCCCGTATTTGCTCAGAGCATGTGAGAGAATTGGTTAACATCCTATATCCTTTGCTGTGGCCTGGAAACTCTTGTGAATTTCTTTTGTATGATCATTAAACATGGGCTGTGTATGGGAACTACTGAGTCATGGCCTGAAGCACTGATGGAGCATCTGGGGGAAGGAGCCCTGGGAGCACAGGTGAAGGCAATTCAGCTGTGTGATAGGAAGGGATGGAGCCTGGCTGCACCTCTCTTTTAAGGGCTGGCTGCTACTGGGGAAGCATCTCTGGTTGGAGATCCCTCCCTTGTGGAGTCTTTCATGCATGCTTAGGTCTTTAGAGACAGGTGAGCACCTTTACTTTTCCTTTGAAATACTGTTCTATCCATGCTAGTCCCTTTGCTGTTACACTTCTGTATCACATTTCCACCACGTTAATCTTTCTGACCTTAACGGGCTGTAATCTACAGACTGGGAGAAGGGGGAAGAACTCACCTACCAGTACTCAGAATTAAAATCCTAAGGAAAATTCTATAAATTCCATACGTGGAGAAGATTTTAACCCTGAATCTAAGAGAAAGGAGCGCTGAAATCACTAGAATCTGTGAATGCTGATCTCAGTGTGATTCCTTAATTGTGCACATGTATCTCTCTTCCCAGCCTCCAGCCCTTCAGAGGAAGGGAGAAGGAAGGGATATGCTCTCAGGAGACAGGTTATGAATCAAGATCACTTCATACTGAATGCTGACAAGCAACTGAAGGAAGCTCTGAAGCAGAGGATTCGTGTGATAAAGGTTGGTTCATCAGTGCTGATTCAGATCATTTCTGTGGTGTGGTATAGTAATTTACTCTCTGTGGACTCCCAGCTGGTAGAGTAAGATTTACCTTGAAGGAGTTGAGAGCATGATAAATAGGTGTAAAGAGAAGCTTTTTCTCCATCTTCTTAAGGATAACATTAAGGAAGGCTTACAGGATGTTGTTAAACTGGCATCCACTGGGTGGATTTGTCTCCAAGCAGTCTGTAAAGGACTTGATGGAGATCTTTGTGATTACGTGACTGTTGCAGAAAGCTGTGATTGGCAGGGCTACTGCAAAGCATTCAGTATTTTCCCACATGTTCACACTAGCTGACACCTCCCTCCTCACTGTGTCCAGAGCTCTTCGAAATCCTCAGCTTGTTGGATAAGATGTTGTTATGCCCAAAGACTTGACACACGAAAGGCAACAAATAGATAACAGTGATACAAATACCTGATTGTTGCAGACTTGATTTTGACAGTGGTAAGAGATAAACCAGCTCTGAAAAGCATTGATAGCTGCCAATAATCATCTAGGACAAGGACAGTTTCAGGATGGTTTTACAGCAGATGCACTCTTTGTGAGTATGGGGAATGGTGGATGCTAGGGAACTGATAAAAGATTGGAGCGAGCCCATGTTTACCTGCAGCTCTAGAACTACCAAACCCCAGTGTTTCACAGCTCCCAGTAGAGTGTGAGCCTGCCCAGTCTCATTTTGAGCACTACCTCTGGCAAATTGCATAGGGTACATCTGTGCTCTATGGAGAACCTCCTCCCTTTCATTTATTTTGGACTTGCCAACAGGTAGCAAAACAATCCGTCCTTGGATGGCCATTCCTGTGGCTCTCATGGTTTTGTAATACCTGTCTCACCTTTCTCTCTCCCCATCCAAATGTCTTTCAGGATGGAGAACCATGGTGTGTGCAGCTGGTCTGTGATTAGATATCACTTTGATCCTTTCTTCACAGTTTCTGCCCTCTGTTATACTGTGTTTGAGTTGGGATCATGAGGGTCGGCTGGTGCTTGTATTGTGGATGTGCCTGCTGGCACTGTGACACTCTGTCTTTTGTTGTCATAATTTCTAACGTGTTTTCACTGCTAATTTCACAAGGGCTCACCGTCACACATGAAAGCTGATCATATTGCTACCAACACATGTTTTGTGTGCTTTAAACAATTATTTGTTTGTGGGATGACCTTCCTCCTGGTTCTGTGGTAGCTTAATGTCTTCAAGATTTTTTTTTAGTGGCTTTGTAAAATGCCTTTAGAAATTCAAATACATCATCATCTGTATCTCCCTAATCCCCATCTACTGAATACACCAGGCAGTAAAGCAACATTTCCCTTTGATGGACTCTTTCCTGTTATACTTCATTTGCCTGTGGATCCTCTTTTTCTCTTACAATTCCTACAGATGTGCTACCAGTCTAGTTTCTAAACCTAATGCAGGATCCTTTTCAAAACTGAAACCACATTATCTACCTTCTCGTGTCTCGACACTGACACATTTTTACATTTCAGCTCGCAAACCAGTCATTAATTCAGCAATTTCACAGTGGAGTTCCTCAGGTTACTCTTGAGCAAATATCCTTTGGTCTTGATGATTTGTTATAATATCTTTTGATATGCTTTATGACCTCCTTCAATATAAGAAAACTTCTCTGATGTGTCTGCTCACAAAGAGGAGCCACGCAGGAGCTTCCTTGACCTCTTCCATAGTCAACACAGCTGTGAAAATTGTTTGTTTGTTTGTTTGTTTTTTTTTTTGCTGTGCATTTATTTCTCTAAACCTTGACTGTCCCTTTGTATTTCTATACCCTTTTTGCCTGTGTCAACCTGGTTTCCCTTGGTCTTTCTAAAGTGCTGTTGGCTACTGATACGCATTTGCTTAAAGTCCCAGTGTGGTATCTTTGGTTTCTACACCATACACAATAATCTTACTTTTCAGACTCTTTTATTCTCTTTCTAAAGGAGAGAGACAGTAAAGAATAATTTTCAGTTAGTGCCCCTTTTTTTGAAGCTTAACATATTGCAGTATTTTTTTTTTCCCCAGTCCAGTGTATGCACTGAATATAAGTGCATCACGAGGACTTTCTACAATAACTTTTCAGTCAGATATTGTGCACTAGCCATGCTGGGTGCAACCACGTTACGAACTGATTTTTACTCTTGCAGGTTCTGTGAGTGATTTTTCTGTTTGGCGTGGCATCAGGCTGTAATGTGACATTTATCCAATACAGTTCAGTGAATAAAGCTGAAGGAGAACATTACCAATATCAGCTTATTGGTTTCTTGCAGTCTAATGCCATTCGCTGTGAGGCCAGCTTAGAATAGGAAGAAAATAACTTCTGGCTTCTGATAGTAAGACGTGCTTGTGGCTGTAAAAGAATTAAGACCTTGCAGCATGTAGCAATTGCCATTAGTAAACAGGTACTTCTGTTTCATGATTCAAGAAAGCTAAGGTTGGCAATCCTGAGGGCTGAAAGCTGAACAAAGTAGGTGCAAGTCCACAACTCCTTGTCTGATTCCCTTTTTGACATGAAATTCCTTTGAAATAAATCCTTTTTCCATTACACAAGCCTTACTATTACGAGAATGTGGGGTCACAGAAATATCTGTCAGGACAGCTCAGTGCGGAATAAATATGAAACAAATACAGTCTGTGAACAACAACCAAAACACCTTCATCCTCCACTTTCCTTCAGTAGAGTGGTGAATGAGTCGTATGAGAACTCAATTTGCCCATCTCGCTTATTAGCTTAAGCTGACCCCTTCTGCTTTATAAATTTTCCTAAACTTTTTTTTTTTAACATGAAAATAACTTGGGTTCCTTGCCCTTAGTGCACTGTTAAGTCATTCCATGAAGCAAATCCTTAAATGTTTTGTTATTTTCTCTGCCTTTCAGTCTAAATGTATTCACGATGACTTTGATCCTACTCAAGCGTTATCTTCTAGCTTACATATTCCATTTGGTCCTCGTTATCTACTCAGCCAGTGTATTGTAAAGAATCATCACGTTGACTCTGAGCCATTGTTTTGCTAGGTGAAATAGTTCTGGGACCTTCTGAAGTCATTGGAGCCAGAGCAGCAACATCTAAGAGCCAGTGGGTTTTTTTTTCCTTCTGGTCCTTCCAGACCACTGGACTTCATATCAGAGTCATGTGACTAATAGCATAAATTATAGCAAATCTACAGTGGATATCCTTGAGTATCCTCCAGTTATGCATTAAGAAAATGTGACCCGTGCTTGCTAACCCTTTGCTTTTATAATTCTATCAAAAAGGACTTGATGTTATTTAATTGATTTGTTTTCCTATGGAAATCAAGTGTCATTACCTTTAATGTCATTTACAATGATGGATGGCAGACAGCCCCGCTGCAATCAGTATCCTGACACCAGTAATTTAACTGTTAGCTGCCTTACAGACATAACAGATGGCATTACTTCTGCCTTGGGTGTTTGCACAGTGATACATCCTCCCTTTGCTACTGCAGGCTGACCCTTCTGCTATGGCTGAAGGGTCTTAAAGCTGAGATACTGCTCTCCTGTTCTTGTACCTGAGACCAAATAATTCACTTAGCTGTAAGTCAGCCTAACATTTCATTTATTGCTCTAAAGCTTCCAGGGAGCTGAGTGCATCTCTGAGCTCTTTGTGTCCTGGGAGACACCATTTCAAATGAGCCTTTGCAAGGCTCAGGATGAGTTCAGCCCGCAGGCTGGCGTGAACTGTGGATACATTTCGAGCTCGAAGCATCACACAAATTAAACAGGAAAATGGGATTTTGATGTTACCAGCAAGAAGAGGATCCCTGAATTCCTAATTTCTGTGGTGTCCTCACATTCCTATTCTAATCCCTCCTTCCTCTCCAGCCCTGAACCTTCTGCCCAGCCCTCCTTACACAACCAGTCTGGATGGGATGCTGTCCATCAGGGGAGAATTATTTATGAGAGTTCTGCAAATGTAGATGTACTGTTTCCAGCTAATAGAACTCAAATCACTTGCACTGCACCATTAGAGAGGAAACTTACCCAAGTAAATTATATGCAGGCCATAAATGGAAGCAGTTGTAGTGTTTTTATGACTCTATAAAACTCTGGAAGTTTATTGCTATTGAACAAACATGTAATCTGATTCTTAAAGCTGAATATTAGAAACCAATATGGCCCCAAACCAGCATTTACCTTCAGGCTTATTACCATGCTGGTCATACTGTGGAAATTGTTTTTCAGTGGCAGGTTTAGAGAACCATTAATAAATCCAGGACTGCTTTCTAGAAGATCTATCAGCTGGCCAAAATGTAGGGCAATACCAACATTCAATGGAGCAGAGAAGTTTTTCCAGCTTACTATTCTCTTTGTTTTCAAAGAGGTCCTCTGAGGTCTTCAATGAGGAGCTGAAAAGCAATGGAAAGATGTCTTGAACTTCATACATTCCGTGTTCTGCTGCCTGTGAGGAGGTGAAAATATGAAGCTTTTTTTTTTTTTTTTATCTCATGAAGAATGTGCTGATAAAACATTGCATAATCGAACAAACCTAGGGCAGAATGGAATATTTCGAGTTGAGCTTGTTGACCTGAATTGTGTTTGTAAGCCTGTGGTGGTGCAGCTGCTTTTTCTAAGGTTTGGGGAGATCCATCAGAGCACAAAGGCAGGGCCAGCTGTGCGCTGAGCTGAGCGGTGCCCTGCTGTGATTAGTGGGATGGCACTTCTGAGGAGGCAGGACAGCCAGTGATCCAGCCTCTGCTTTGTGGTTCCTTTTGTTCATGCCTCTGCCCTGTATTGTTATTTTTACTTGCATCGTTTCTGTTTGAAGACCGACTTCTCTTTAGCAGGGTAAGGATACTATTTGATCTGCTCTGTGTCAATGTTCTTTCTCTCTTTTCAGGGCTGCTCGGGGCTTCTGACACTTTGGGTTTGTTTTGTGCTAGCAAGGCTGTCTCTGGGCATGGAGGGGGAATGGAGATCTCAGGGTGCATTTCTGAAGGGATAGAGGGGAAGCTGTGGGCTGCCAGTCGTTTCCAGGGTCCCCTCTGTTGGACCATTCCATTGTGGCTGGGAGGTTTGGTTCCCACAGTGCTCCATGGCTCTGGAAGCAGTGGACTTCTCCAGATGCAGCTCGTTTTGACAGGACAAAGGCACACCAGAGAAATCTCTAAAAATTGTTTTAAACCGTTGCTGGGGGAAGATTCAGGAAAGAAAAAATAGGGCACCCTTCTGCTTAGAGGTCTTGCACCACTCTGGTGCGGAGAAGGAACTGGAACACCTTAAGCCTTTTGCTTCCTTGGCTACTCACTTGAGAAAGGCAGTGAAGGCCTGAGTTTGGTCTCTTGCTTTCAGGTTTATTCCAAAGGCAGCCTGGATGAGTGGTGAACATTTGGCAAAGCTGAAAACCTGCTGTTGCCCTTTGCACAAAGTGGTGGTTGGCTTACAGCCCCACGTGCCCCAGCACAAGGGATGGGTTACTGCTGGAAGCCCTGAGCTGGCTCTAGTGATGGCAACCTAGACATAGCTGACATCAAGGGACGTTTCTCTTTTTTCCTTCATAGAAAGAGAAGTGCTTTTTCCTGGTTGAGTGCTGAGATGGATAATACATGGAATAAACTTCAAGGCTTCAAGTACTTTGAGATTGTTATTAAGTCTGGTGGTTTCTTACACCCAGGTAGGCAACAACAGACTTTTGAAGGCCATTTAACTCTCTTTAATCTCTCTCAACCCACTAGTTGTGACCACAGTCTGTCACAGTCTAGTAGTAACAACAGGAATAGTAGGTAAAGTACTGTGGTCATGATGATAAGAGAGAATCAAGAGCAAAGAAGCCAGTGTTTCTAGCTAAGGCAATATCTGTGACCAAAGATCAACTTCCCACTCTTAGCTGAGATGCAGGTATGGTTGTCACCAACCTCCAATGGTTGTCACCAGCCTCCAATGTAGAGCTGAAGGGACACTCAAATTAATGAGTAAGAAATTGGACAATTTATTCCAGCAAGATGTTATTCAGTATGCACAGTTTGGTGGAGGGCAGCCACTGTTCCCCAGCCAGCAGTGTGCTCCAGCACTGCCTATGGCAGTGTGTGCCTATGCCAGTGGGATTCAGCCTTCATGCCCAGCAGTGGGATGACTGCAGTCACTCTGCATATGGCTGGTTCTACCTTACAGCTCCTCATCATTGTTTTGGAGTCTCTATAGATCATTTCCTTGCTGAAGAATCGGTTTAATTTAAGGAATGTGGGGTGTTTTTTCTTACCAGCGCATTGTGAAATGCACATGGTGGCAGCTGTTAAGCCTAATGAAACCCACAGCAGGGAAGAAAACAAAGCATCACCTACAAAAAGAAGAAGCAAGGACCACAGACAGATGTAAGTGGCTGAGAATGGTGGATTTCCAAACAATATATATATTTTTTACCATTTCACTGTGGGAGATGAGAGAGGAATGGGATAAATGAGGCCATGTGACTCCTAATTACCAGAGAGATTTTTAGAGAAGTAGTTTCCCTAAGGAAATACTTCCAAATAGCAAGGACAGATGAAATGTCCTTGTGCAGGTTTAACAGCAAGGAGAGCGTGGCTACCCTGCCTCCCTCTATGCAGAACCATGATAAAGGCTTATGTTAAAGGGATGCAGGAAGCAAAGTTACTGATGGATCAGGGAAAATGCAAGCATTATGATTCAGTTACTTTTGTGTAGAAAGCAAAAAAAGCACAAAAGGTAGAAAGAACAAAATTCCATGTCTTGAAAGTAGGGCAAGGGAATAGTGGAGCTGTAAATGTTCTGGTTGTGCAGCTGCCCACAGCCTTTGCAAAGAGTGAAACCCATTAGTGCAGGCAGGGCTGGAGGTGTCCAGTGATGGCCAGTGAAGAACTCCTGGTGTGAACTCAGTCAACCAGGCTGTTGGGATGCTGGCAGTACAAAGGCATGGCCAGACATTCCCTTTCTAACTCTGAAAATCTGTCACCAATTCTCTGAGTTGCTGAACGCATGGAAATATAAACTCAGTAACGCTGGCAACCTGCAGTGTGAGCCCTCTGCAAGGGCTGCCAAGCCATCCTAATGCCACTGGGTACAGTGGGGCCACTGGTGGCAGTGAGGCAGAAGGTGTTATCCCTTAGAGAATGTGGGAGCATGCAGAGTAGAATGTGGTATTCTGCAAGTGGATATCCAGAAATTAGAAGTATGCCCTGATTGCAGCCTGTGTGGCAGCTGGAACCTGCTGCTCCATTGGCCCTGGTGTCACTGGTGAGATTCCTGTTGCTGGAGAAGAAAAAGTCAAGGGGAAGAGCCACTGGCTTCTAAAATCAGCACTGGGAGTGAAATAACACCATGGCTTCAGGCAAGGTGAAGCTGGTGAAGGCTGGGTGCCTTATGCTGGATGCCTGATGGCTGGAAAGACAAAGCTTTATGAGGGTATTCATAGGCCCTCAGGGAAGTGTAATGCCTTCCACTGATGGACAGAAGATCCATTAAATTAATCCACATCTGTCTCACAAGGCTATGCAAAAACATCCACGCCAACGTAACCACAATCCTTAGATGTAGACTTGTGGAGTTTATCCATCCTGGAGACCCACAAACTGACACAGGAGGTTCTTTTTCTCCTGTATGAATTAATCATTTCTCTGCTGAGGAATCTGATCATTTTTATGCAATATATTCTTCTCTGAAGGGGAAAAAAAAAAGGTGCTTTGATCCTCCTGCTTTGGTTGGGTGAGTTCTTACAGCAATCAACATGGTTAAGTAATTCTGTCTGGGGTAAGCTCCATGTGACACTGGAATGCTGAGAAAATCTATCTTTATATGGTGTTATTACCAGAAAAATGAAATGAAGTGGTGATATCAGGTTTTGAGGTTCCTGAACTCCGCAGAACACATGCAGGAAGACCAAGAGAATAATAAAGACTAGGACTCTGGGAAGCTCTAGAGTGATGGTATGGGATGATGTATGTGAACAAGCTTGTTCTACCAGGAAAGCAGTCTGCCTATCTCTGTGGTGGTTGATTAAGCTCTCAGTTGTAAATATTTACCCTACTTCCGTGCATTTAGGACTTGAAAGCAAGATAGCTATGACACAAATGGGTTTCACTTGGCTTGGAAACTGTGATCAAGTGCCAAGAAAACAGCATATGGAAACATGTAATAGAGATGCTGGCAGCAGTGCCAGGGCGTACATTAGTCCAGAGAGGTCAGGGCTGTGGTAGAGCTGCGTGTGGCAGAGAGGGCTGGGGAGATGGGGTGAGAGACCCCCGTGGAGCTCTCTGCAGGGCTGAGCCCATCAGTGCTGTGAGGGGTCTTGTGTGTGTAGGTAAGCATGGTGAAAAGTGGCCCTGGGTGTTGGTGGCCATGTGCTGGTTGCCTGCAGAGGAGAGAGCCTGTTTCTAAGGTAGGCATCAGTGTGGAATGAAGGACCACTTGTAGGAGATGCTCAGAGACCTGGGACAAAGGTGAGGGGCAGGCCAGACTATATCTTTATTTCTCATCACAACCAGGCTGTAGCACTTGCTTTCGCTTGCTCACTCTGACTGTAGACTTGTCTGAAAGACATGATGTGCAGGATGAACCACAGTGCCCTTCGTTGTTGTGTATGGAGGAGACAGCCATGCTTATCAGGCCTGTGCTGATAGCCTCAGGGAGGTTGGAAGATACCATCTTATGGCAGCAGCTGGCTGTACTTTTGCTTTCCTTATGATGCCAGTTTTTATGCTGAATTTTGGCTTTCTTGGCAAAGAGCTCAAGGGTGGAGGGCAGGAAAGCCATGAAAGCAGAGGTGATTTCTATGGTACGTATGTGGCTGAGCAGTGGGTTAGAGGGGAGTCCATTGAGAATGGGCTGCAGCCCTGTCAGCTATTTTTGTACTTTGAAGGTTTGCTGTTGCAGCGAGAATGTGAATATGGGATCCATCGTAAGTCCTTGATGAAGAACTCTCTTGGTACAAGTGGGCTTTGCCTTAGCACTTGTGTTCAAGGGGCAGCCATTAACAAAGCCTCTCTCTTGCTTTCCTAGCCCAAAACTCCACTGGCAGTGACTGAATGGAGCAATGACTCTTATCACAAGAGGAAACGAAGCTGCCTTTCCTTGCTGCTCATTTTCCTCATAGCTGTATCTGCTTCTAAGGAGCAACTGACAATGGATGAACTTTGTGCTGACTTTTTTAAAAAAGGGAAGCTATATGTAGAGCTGCAAGGCTAGGGAGAAGTGTTGTGGATGTTATTTTAGTTTCCCTTAGGTAAACCTTTAACAGCGAGCTCTGCATCATATCAATAGGCCCTTCTTGCATGGTGTAACCATCATCTGGCTGACAAAACAGCAGTCAGCACAAATAATTGTGTAATAATGTTCTGAGACTCCAGATTCTTGCGTTGGTTTTACACAGCACTGATTGGGAAGTGAGCCATAGAGTCTTAGATAAGAAGTTCAGAGTTAATGCAGGGATTACAACAATATACAATGAAGGTGATTCACAGATGGAGAGAAATGGGGTTTCATTTAATGGGCCTTCCAGACCAGGAAGGTCCTCCTCTCTCCATATTGCATGGGGCTCA